AACAACAACAACAACAACATAGGTGTTCCCTAACCAAATCCATTGCCATGCAGTGGATTCCAGACTCACAGTGGGACAGAGTAGAACTGCCTCATAGGGTTTCCTGGGCTGTAATCATTACAGGAGGAGCTCTGGTGGCCTAATGCCTAAGGCACCCGACTGCTAACCAGAAGGCTGGTGGTTCTAACCCACCAGCCACTCATTAGAAGGAAGGCTGGCCAATCTACTTCCATAGTGATACTGCCTTGGAAACCCAAGGAGGGGTCGCTATGAGTCGGATCCGACTCGATGGCAGTGGTTTTTTTTGATGGTGTAGTGATGTGATCTGTGGACTTGACGTGTATAGGGTTTGAGATGACAGTGACATCCCCAAAGAAGTGTCAGGAAGGGAGTTTCTAACAGTACAAAGACTTAGCTGCTGTAACAAAGACCTCACAACACCGTGGTTTAAACGAGGTGCAGGTTTCTCCTACATAACAGCCCCGTGGTAAAGGGGGGACAGGAACAGGGAACAGGAGTATTACAGGACCCAGGTTCCTTTTATCCGGTGGCCCTGCTGTCCCTTAGGGTATCGTCTTCATCTCCGTGTGATCAAAATTGGGTTGTGTGGGAAGATCTAGCTGGTGCCAGGCTACCACTGCGACTGCTCTGAAAGGGGTCACTAAGGTCCCAGATAGAGTGGGGCGACATGTGGAACAAAACTCAAAATCATTAAAAAAGACCAGGCTTACTGGTCTGATGAAGACTGGTGGAACCACGGAGACAGTGGCCCTTAGCCTTCAAGCTAGAAACTGATCTGAACTGAACCGTGACTCAACTGGCAGCCAATGAGATCAAGCCTATGAGACCAAGAAGACAGCATTTGTCCAGGGAGGTGGGCCAGGAAGAGCCAGGAAAGTGGGAGGGGTGGGAAGGGAGGATAAGGGAAGGGGTGGGCGTAGGGAAGTGGAAAGAATGCTGTTAGGGTTTGGGGATTGCAGTCGATGTTACAAAACAGAATGTGTATGGCTCGCTGAATGGAAAACCAATTTGCACAGTAAACTTTCACCCAAATCACAATTGAAAAAAAAGAAAAGAAATAAAAACAAAACCAGGTCATGGACAAGACAGCACGTTAAAGTCTGAAAACGAGTAACTCCAGGAGAGCAAAGCCTCCGGAAGTGACGGGAAAGGCTAACTAGTCACTTCCGCTCATGTCTACAGATGAAACCAGGAGCCTGGTCGCACCCAGCCCCAAGGATTACTGGGAATTGTAGGTTCTGGACCACCGGGGTCCAACCTCACCTCCATTACTTTGGAGAGAAATCAAGTCACCTTGAACAACTTTTTTTTTTTTTTTTTTTCCCCATGAACAAAACGGGCTAGGTAACTGAAAGTTGAACTTTCTTAATTCGTTCAACAGTTTTTTTTAGGGACCTTGAAGGGTTAGGAAACATTCCAGGTTTTATTCCAAATGCAGCAGGAAGCCGCTGGCGGCTTGGCCCTGAGGAACCTATAGTAGCCTGCTCCCGACTTGGATATTAGGTCTTGAAGGATGTTAGGTCTTGAAGGAGAAGGACATTAGGACTCCGAGCTGGAGATGTGAGATGGTGTTTAAAAGGCGCAGAAATGCCGAGGTGCCCTGGAGAAAGCTTGGAGAGAGAGAGAGAAGGGAAGTAGGCCCAGGGTCATGCCGTGGGGACCCCATCATTGAAAGGACCGGGGCAGGCACATCCTCAAGTCTTCCCACAATCCCTCCTGCTATAACCACGCCCATTTTCTTTCTCACTCTCCCCTCAGGCCTTGTATGACCCCATCAATCCTGACAGGGAGACCCTTAACCAGCCTCTGCTAACGGACTCCCAGCGTCTGTCCAACGAGCAGGAAGTGCTTGGCGCGCTGGAGCCCCTGCTGATCCAAGGCAACTTCTCCGCGCTGTCGGAGGACGCCCTGGCCTACGCTCTCGTCGTTCACCACCCTCAGGACGAGGTCCAGGTACCAGGACCCAAACTCCCAGCAGGCCCTGGGGCAGCGGTGGGGCCTCTGAGAAGCAGAGGCTGCTGGGAGTTGTAGTCTTGACATCAAGCCACAGTGGTGCCTCTGGTGAACTAGGAAAAGGGAACCCTTTTGCAGGTAATTCCACCACCATCTGTTGGAAGAGCACAGGCTTCACCTCAGAGGTAATGCGGGTTTGCTTCCAAAGCCCCACAGTAAGACGAATGAATATTCCTTTCGTTCCTCACTACGGAAGTAGATTGCCCAATCTTCCTTCCTAGGAGTGACTGGTGGGTTTAAACTGCCAGCCTTCTGGTCGGCAGTCAAATGCTTTAGGCACTATGCTACCATTAAGTGTGTGGCAGTGGGATGAAAAAGCTTGATACTTCAGCCTTGTGAGGATGATGAGATGTGACACAGAGACATGAAGTGGGCACGTCCTGTTAGAAAAATGGCGCCTATAGACTTGTTCAAAGCAGGGTTGCCACAAAACTTCAGTTTGTAAAAACACGGTATGTGCCAACCTCAATAAAATGAGGTGTGCCTGCATCATAACATACAGTTTCTTAGAACTAGAAACGTTAACTGCCATCTGCCAGGTAATTATAGTAAATAAAACAAACTTCACCCTTGAAACCAGCAAAATTCTAGTAAAAATACTAAAATCTTCCAAGTTCCACATTTTACTGATTGTAAGTTTTACTTCCTCTAAAGTCATATTAGGCGCTCTGGTAGCATAGTGGCTAAAGCACTTGACTGCTAACCAGAAGG